AAATAAATAAATAAATAAATAAATAAATAAAATAAACTACCATTTAGCACTTTATTTTCTATAAAAATGACAATTTAGAATTGCTTGAATATAGGAAGCATTGAAGATAAAGTAAATCTAAGTTTAATCTAATTAGAGTATATTAATATAGGTCACCAAATAGTTTAATGCATTTTTATTTTTAATAAAGTTCATCACTATTCCTACTTCAAGATATTCCACAACTTGAGGAAAAAAGAGTATTACAGCTGCTTGAAGGGAGTACAAGCTGAATTAGTGCAAATTTAGGAATAGGATTTAAAATATTTTTCATAAGACAGGCTTCCAGTAAAATAAATATGTAAATTTCTTATACTATGTTACCAAAGTTTTCAGGGGAAAACTTGAAAATTTCTTGCATATAAAAATTCAAGATGGAAAGTGATCAAGCAGCATAAGAGCAGAATGAAGATTAGCATTTTGAGAACTGGTAATCTAACACATATTGCTCATTAAAACATTCAGCTGCAGAAGAAACATTAAAATGTAATGTAATAAAAGAAACAGCACCTTTATAAAACCAAGTTATTTAAAATAAAAGTTTGCAAAAATACTCAGAACTACAGATCTCTACATGAAAAACATTGTAAAGGAGGTGGTTAACACAAAATCAAGAAATTTTGAACAGTGTAATGTTACATGTTGACTGTAAATGTAAACAATACTGAATATTTAAAGCCAGCGTTACACCTAGGTATCTACAGTAGGCAAAAGTTCCTTTTCTTTTAAAGTCATACATTTAATATTCTCTCTAAACTGGGTCAGTAAATCAGCACACTTTAATAAGGCATGAAAAATTTTTAAAAATTTTTAAACTTTTAAGAAATTAAAGCAGTATTAAAGTATTTTCAGTGAATGTTTTTATTAAATGCCAGGACAGGAGATTTATTATAAGACTTTTTGCTATTCAGTGGAATTCAGAATAAAATGAGTCTGTTTCAGATCATAACCCAAAACTTTTAGTTACCTATGTGACACAAAAGGATTATCATAACATGATTTTTATAAGATAATTCAATGGTATAGAGATGCCTTTCTCAACCAGAGCTCTGAATACAACATTACGATGAGACATCATGATGTTGTTTTTTTTTTTTTTTTTTTTTTTTTTAACC